ATGTGTCGTTTGTTGTACTGATTGCTTCTCTGATCTTAAGTGGCAAAAGCACCTCGTTTTCCGCTCATTTATCATCACGTCATTCGATTTTTACTTGATTTATGCGTCTGCATTGATGATACTGAACACACAATTTCAATCTTGAACACATGATTGCTTTTAATGATTGGATGAAGGAAGCAATTTTTGATGCAGAGACAACAAAGCAGTGCGACACCATACAAAAACTGACTTCATCGTATTGGTCGTTATGTGCATAGATCAAGAAACATACGAAAAAGATAGAAAGGAAGTTGTTACAAATGCAGACGGAAAAGTGTCGCTGGAAAATTACGCAATAATGTTGAGGCAAAATTGTGAGAGATGAGTGCAAAAATCAGGGTGAATTCGATGAAACAAACGATACACGAAATAGGGGATAAAAGTTTCAAAATGGCTCACAATACTTGTCGAAATCATGGAAGCGAATTTCCGTAGGCAACTCCACAAATTCAGATTAAAAATGCATAGACAAGATTATGCGGTGAAATGGAATGGATTTGGATATATGCGACGCACATCTGTTATTTTTAGTCATCATTTTTGTAGTTCATGCATATCACAAACAAGCCGAATATAAATGACTTTTCGACCGATTTTAATTAAACGTCGTAGATAATAATTACTACTAAGTACCAGATCGACACTATAACCTTCAGGGTGTCCAATCGATTTTGGCCATTTCGTGATTAAGTGCCGTTTTGCATCTCGATTTTCAGAATCGAAACTAATTACAAAGTATATGCGTACCAGAGAATGAAACCCTCCTCGAAAACAATGGACTCGCCTCTCAAATTTAAAACAAAGAGGGTTCCATCCAGACAATTGAATTAAAGTTTTTCGTGTGTGTTTTGAGAGCGTGTAAAAAAAATCGACTACAAAAAGGTACATAGTGTCTGCACGTCATTCGACACTATATACATAGATTTTAGACGATGACGTGACTTTGCTAGAAAAAAGAGAAACAAACAAGCTTCTGTTCCATGGGCGAGAGAAAATGGGAAAAAAATGAAAATAAAAATAAAGCTGCCAATGCGTGTAATAGAACCTGGTATTAATTTTAATAACTATAACAATAAACCATTCGTCATCGATTCACATTATACACAATGATATTCTCCCATCTCGCACGTCTATGTCGTCGACATTGGTCGAACAAGCAATGCAATGGATTTATTACACTTTGCACTGCAAGCAAATCTCGTCATCGAACAAGGGGTGAACAAGAGAAATGAGGTGCAATGCGAAAAACGACCTAGCACAACGTCGATATAATGACTTTTTTTGTCGTGTATATGCACAAGGTATTCATTTGTATGCAGTTCTTTTTTCTTTCTTTCCCTTTCCCTTTTACTCTGTACCTCTCTTAATGCGTTCATACACGCTTCGTTTTGGAAAAAAAAAAATTGTGACAATTTTACGTGTTCAATGCGTTTGTCAAAGGCACGGACATACGTTTCAATTGGCTTTTACCGTACAACAAAACTATAAACGACAAAGTCTCACCCAAAATATATGCATGCATTGTGCGCTTGCACATGACCACAACACAACATCGAATACGAATCGATCGTTACTTTTATTTTATGAACAAATGTGATACAAACTCATTGTTTAGATACTGTGCGTTGTCATATTGTTTTTGTTTGCTTGCATGCAGTTTATTGAGACGCGGCTCATTACCTATCCCTCGTTCCATTGTGAAAAAAGAAGAAGAAGAAGAAAAAAAAGAACGTTTCATCATTGTCGTTATGAGCATAATTTTCCGAATCGCTGTCAATGTATTTATTTAGTCTTGTTAATGCTACTTTTCTCGGGAGTATTGAACGTGGGTCAGTGCATCCATTCCCAATAAATCGAGACGTCATGCACAAGCGCAAACAAATGGGAAAATATACACATTTTATTTTACAATGGGTTACAAAGAGTCGGTGTCGCGTACATGGCACATTTCATGTATCTCAAAAATGCTATCACGATAAATATCTGATTATAATCGATTCGAATGTATACTCTGTAATATCGTACACATGAAATATACATGCATGCATTTTTTGTGAATCAAACTATTCTCCCATGCCCTACAAATTCGTTTAAGAATGATATTTCCTTTCATTTTTTTTTCGCAAATCGTATTTACTCACAAACGGTTTTCATCGTTCATCAACTTATAAGCCCATTTGAAGCACGCGATAGTTGAACAACTGCTTTTGAACTATAAATGGGGTCAAATTGCACTTTAAAATTCTTCTAATTCACAGTTGCATCTTATGGCGCTTCAATTCTATTGCAACATTGCATTTGAAGCTATATAAATTTCAACTCATTGGTAGACAAACTATTGATTGATTGCAATCATTATGTTCCATTAAGTTATCAGATCGTGCACTTGAATGATTCTATTTTCGAAATAGTTCATTGATAGAAATTGATTGTTTTCATTACAAAAGAAAATAGATGAAACGAATTGAAAATTCCATCCATACAATTTAAAAACAAAATCAAAATTGTATTTTGATAAGACTCGTATCTCGAATTCTAATTCGAGTGTATGAAGTATTTGCTTAATTTCACAATTTTTTGAAATTATATCATTTGAATTGATTACAAGCTGACTTCTTATCACTTAATCGTTATGTTATCGCTTCTTTAAATAATTTTGCAGATAGTATAAATATGAAGGTAGGCTAAGGTCAGTAATCATTCAGTTCTGACCGAGACAGAAAGCAAATACGTGAATTTTATAAGCATTTTGTGTTTAAAATGGCATTTTTTACCGACAGTTGGAAAGTGGATGTGTTTGTCTCGTTTCTTGGAATAATAACACTAATTTACTTATTTCTCAAACGAACATATTCATATTGGGATCGAAGAGGATTCAAATCACTTTCCGATGTCAGTCTTTTATTTGGCCACTTCAGAGCGACATTCGCTCAAAAAGAGTCGGTCGGTCACTTTTTCAATCGCATCTATAAAAGTACGAACGAGCCATTTTTGGGAGTTTACGGCTTTCTCCGTCCGATGCTATTGATAAAAGATGCAGAACTTGTGCGAACGATTTTGGTAAAGGATTTTGTACATTTTTCGGATCGTGGTGTTCATTGCAATGAAGACTACGACCCATTATCGGCACATTTATTCGCTCTATCTGGTCAAAAGTGGCGGAATCTACGTGTAAAATTATCGCCCACATTCACAACGGGCAAATTAAAAGGAATGTTTTCAACTCTGCTTGAATGTGGATCAACGTTACAGAATTACCTTGATAAAGTCGTTGAAAGCGGCGAGTTATTGGATGTACGTGAAATTTCCGCTAGACATTCAACAAATGTCATTGCGTCGGTTGCATTTGGTTTGGATGTGGATTGTATCAATAATCCAGATCATGAATTTCGTGAAAATGGTCGTCGAGTATTTACCGCAAGTTTTTGGAATGCAGTTCGATTCTTTCTTAAATTTATCGCGCCCAAATTGATGAGCATTCTTCGCATTAAGTCAGTTGACAATGAAGTTGAAGACTTTATCAAATCGATTGTGAAACAAAATTTGGAACATCGTGAAACGAATAATGTGATTCGTAAGGACTTTTTCCAGTTGTTGATTCAACTGAGAAATGGCGGCACAGCGCAATTAGATGAATGGGACACAGTGATAAAGGCCGATGAAGGCCAAAAAACAATGACATTGAATGAAATCTGTGCTCAAACATTTGTTTTCTATGCCGCGGGTTGGTTTTTCTTTTTAAAGCCTAATTTACAAACAAATATTTTATTTTTATTTCTAATTTAGGATTTGAAACATCGTCTACAACACTCTCGTATTGCTTATATGAAATGGCCAAAAATCCGGAAATTCAGGAGCGTGTACGTCATGACATTCACAAGACTTTGGAAATACATAACGGACATTTGACTTATGAAGCCGTTTGCGATATGAAATATTTGGAAAAATGTATTGATGGTACGGGTCTTTTTTCATTCTTAGTTTTTTTCGAAACTAGTCGTATTTTCTTCTATAGAAACTCTTCGAAAATATCCAGTATTGCCGATGCTAAATCGAACTTGCGTGAAAGAATATTGCATCCCAGGTACGAACAATGTGATTGAAAAGGGCATTGAAGTATTTATATCTGTATTGGGATTGCAACGAGATGAAAAATACTACGAAGAACCTGATAAATTCAACCCAGATCGATTTAGTGAGGATAACTTAGCAGGAAAAACTCATTTGGATCGACCGTATTACTCTTTTGGTGATGGGCCGAGGAATTGCATTGGCATGCGACTCGGAAAAATGCAAACCAAGGTGGGCCTCGTATTAATGTTACAAACATTCAAATACGAACTAGCAGATCGACAAGAAGATCGTGAAATGGATTTTGAGCCGCGACACTTTTTACTTCAACCCCGTAATGGGATTAATCTTCAGATTTCTAAGCTCAACTAAAAAATAGATTGTTCACTGTTAACATCTAGAAAAATTATTTATTTTTATTTTCACTTGGAATGAAATGTATTGTTGTGTTCAAAAAAGTGCAAAAGAAAGTATTGCAAGAACAAAATAAAATGCATACATTTGCAGTTTACAAAGAAAGCTTATTGATAATATATGCACGTGACATTGATAAATGCTGTTTGAATTAATACTGTGTATTACCACTAATCTCCACAAAATAAAGTCGGCCTACATTACTGATGCGATAAGTTAATCCGGTTTATAGCCATTATTCAGAAATAAACACAAGAAAAAATTGATTATCACATGACTGGCCATCACATGACAAACTGATTTTTCTTTTTTTGTCCATTGATTAGCTAATCTTTAAGTCTGTGTGGCACTACGCACAGTTGTTGCAGTTTTAGAGAATTGCATAATCGAAATGGTTGTTGTGCATATAAATATCATTTGCTGCAAGCGATTCAGTTCAGTTCAGTGAAGAAGTGTGTTCGAGTATATTCGAAGACTTTTGTGAAGTGCTGACAAAATTTTGTTTATCAGACTACTAACGATATTTTATTTATATCTTAATAAGCGAACGACAAGATTTCAAACCACTTTTCGGTGTCAGTCTTTTATACCACTTTAAAGCAGTATTCGCAGAGAAACAGTCTGTTCGGGTCTATCGAATAACTAACGAACCATTTCTTGGACTTTGAAATAAACTTTGTATCCATGATCTTTTATTAATTGTTCATAAATCATTTCACTCCAATAAATTCGAGCTGATAGAAATCTTGCAAGTTGAGATAAGCAAAATTTTACTTTGCAAATGTTCTTTTAAAAAGCAAGTCAAGATATTATTATCAAACATTTGAAAATGTAACCTTTTGATTTTACTTGTCATCAATGGTATTGCAGAGTACATGTTATATCAGTCTGCCTCTGATAATAACGCCCTTATCATCATTTATTTTGACATATATTTGCTAAAATTTGTACGATTTATTTCAGTCGCTTCGAAGAATTCAAGTACTAAAGTCAAAATGGCTCATTTAACTGGTAGCTGGAAAGTGGACGTCTTGTCATTAATCATTGTAATATTAACATTGGTGTACTTATTTCTTAAACGAACTTATTCGTATTGGGATCGTAATGGCTTCAAATCACTGTCGGATGCCAGTCTTTTATTTGGTCACTTCAAAGCGGGTCTTACACAAAAGGAATCAATCGGTCTTTTCTTTTGGAGAGTTTACCGAACAACAACCGAACCATTTCTTGGAGTCTATGGCATTATGCGGCCGATTTTATTCGTAAAAGATCCACAACTGGTGCGAACCATATTGATTAAAGATTTCGCACATTTTTCAGATCGTGGAGTACATTGTAATGAAGACTACGATCCTCTATCGGCACATTTGTTCGCTTTGCCCGGTAAAAAATGGAAAAATATGCGAGCAAAACTCACCCCTACGTTCACTTCGGGAAAATTAAAAGCAATGTTCTCAACAATCGTAAATTGTGGCTCAACGTTGCACAGCTATTTAGACAATTTGGTGAGTGAAAATGAACCGCTTCATATTCGTGAAATATCAGCGCGTCACTCGACAAATATCATTGCGTCGGTTGCATTTGGCATTGATGTGGATTGCATCAATAATCCAGATAATGAATTTCGCGAAAATGGACGTAAATTTTTTGCATCAACATTCATGAATGGCATTCGATTTTTCATTCGATTTATTGCACCAAAATTGATGCCAATTTTACGTATCAAAGGAATTCCGTCGGATGTTGAAGACTTCATCAAAACACTTGTTAAACAAAATTTGGAATATCGTGAAAAAAACAATTACAGTCGAAAAGATTTTTTCCAACTTTTGATTCAATTGAGAAATGGCGGAACGGTGCAATTAGACGATGAGTGGAGCACAGTGATCAAAGCCGATGAAAATCAAAAAACGTTAACTTTGAATGAGATCTGCGCACAAGCGCTTATATTCTATGTCGCTGGCTTTGAAACATCATCAACGACTCTTTCGTATTGCTTATATGAATTGGCCAAACATCCAGATATTCAAGATCGGGTACACAAAGAAATTGACACAGTTTTGAATAAACACAATGGACAACTTACGTATGAAACAGTATTGGATATGATTTATTTGGAAAAATGTATTGAAGGTACGTTTTGAGTATTATTTTTTTCATATTGATTTTTTTGAAAAAAACATTTTGCATTTATTTTAGAAACCCTTCGAAAATATCCGGTATTACCAATGATAAATCGAAAATGCGTAAAAGAATATCGCATTCCAGGCACCGATAATGTGATCGAAGAAGGCGTTGAAGTGTATATGTCAGTTATTGGAATGCATAGAGATGAACAGTTTTATGATGAACCAAATAAATTCGATCCAATGCGATTGGACGACGAAGTTGGAAAGAATTTAGTGAATAGACCGTATATTCCATTCGGCGATGGACCAAGGAATTGTATCGGCATGAGATTGGGCAAGCTTCAAACAAAAGTTGGACTTATTTCAATGCTACAGAATTTCAATTATGAGCTGGATGAACGACATAAAGGTGGTGACTTGGAATTTGACCCAAGACACTTTTTGCTACAACCTTCTGAAGATATTTTTCTTCGAGTGTCTAAAAGAGTAACATCATAATTTAATTTTTTTTCTAATTTTTTGCCCAAGAGTAGTCATATTGTTTGTTGAACTCGCAAATATTGAATACAAAATGTATCAGCAAATGTTCAACATTAAAATGTATTTCTGGTAAATAACAAATAAACTCCAATTATCCAATTAGAACGTTGGCATAGTTACAGCTCTTAAAACTACAAAGAAACTAGTAAATGGCTTCCATTTTCACATAAAATGGTATTTATGAGTTGTATATGAAAAATTAAAAGAAAAAAAAATGAGTATTTTTATGAGTATGAATATAAAAATTCGTTGTGCGGCATTTATATTAAACCATAGATGGATTTACCGATTCTAAAATAAAGAAATGAAAGAAACATAAAAAAAGCCGATAGTTATTTCGTATGTGGTCTCTGATACTGTATTTTATCGTCGATACAATCGCATGTCTAACCAAAGTTCACATTAAAAATGCACCTCGTGAAGTAATCGAAAACGCATTCATTAGAGTGAAGCATGCCCTTTTAGTGGCGGGTTGAAGTCTATAAGTCATCGCGTATCTCGAACATATTATACATTTTTTTGATGTGTGTTGTGACTCTCATTCGTCTCGTCTGGCATTTCCTCCTTCTTACGTCATTCGTTTCAAATCTGATTATTATGAGCATTAAACATGGAAATTGAACGAGCCAAAAGAAGATATTCAAATGTTTTTACCGCTCTTTGTTCGGTTAGCTGTTAAGCTGTGATTAGAACTGAGTAAATCTGAATATTTGGACAATTTATTTTATTTTTAAGAACGAAACGTTCTTCTCTACATATACAATGCGGCATACAAATTTGATGTTACTGTGCGTTGTGCGCTCTTGGTCGATCCCATGTCACATATGCATAAAATGTAAGTGATGCAGGCAGTGTTTTAAATGAAATTACCGTGAAATGAACGTCGTCAGCAACATCACACCGAAAGAGGGTGCGTCATTTGAACATGGTTTTTAACTTATAACGATGGTTGTTATTTGTAAAAACTTTTTCGAAATCCAAACGAACGAAAAAAAAACCGTACAAAGTGTAAACGCATGCATATCATATGTTAGACATCATTCATCTAATGCATCTACTTTCATGTCGATGTATAAGCGACATTTTCAATTATTCACTGTCTCATCTTGTATGGAAATGGATTCGTATTTATGTTGATTGGCTGTTTTAAAGGGATAACTAAAAGAGTATATGAGATGGAAGAACATTTGCGTAGATATGCGCGATTCAAAAATTTATCGACCACTTTTTTTAACCATCTTCGACAACAGAGAGAAGAAAAAACGTGTTCTACCAATAGCAGAGAGCCGGAATTGATCTAATTCATTGTTATTTTAGAAGAACCTCGAAACTCATAATTGTTTTAAATTATTTTTTGTATCTCTATTTTGCGCATTCAATAGTTTTGTTCATCATCTCTTTTTTTGAACAATAAATTGTCTAGAATCGTGAGTGCGACCAAGCATGAAAAAGCCTCATATTTCGGAGAAAAAACTAATTTCGATTTTTTTTCTCTCGCAAAACGATCGCTACCTTGCTTTAAAGAGAATGAAGCAATTAAAAAAATGTGCCGTTGTTTTTTGTGCTGAAGCTTGCCGTTGTTTTTTTAGAATGTATATTTATAAAATGCCGAGTTCTCATGCAAAATGCCATTCGCTCGGTTGCTACTGAAATATCAATTTGCAATTGATTTATCTTTATTGATGCATTAAATCGAATCTTACCGTATATGACTTGAAACATTGGCTTGAATGCTTATTGATCCGATTAAAGAGTACATTTATTTCATATTTCAAAATGAGCCTTC